TGAACCTACGGTGCTTAGGCACGGGTGGAAGTCGGTGTAAACAACATACACAGTGACCCTGGGGTACCCGGCTTCGGATAGGTATAGCTACCTTCGTCCCCCGAATACAACGTACGGTCATCAGTTGTATTTTTTTAGACTGAAAGATACCCTAAATACAGCTATAATGCCCGTACATCGTATTCGGGGGAAGAAGGTTTTGCGAGGTCAAATATTTGAGAGAGAGAGAGAGAGAGAGAGAGAGAGAGAGTAGTTTCTATATATCGTCAAACAGAGCTGCCTGGAGAAGGGGACAAGTGGACAAGGGGACAACAAACGAGGGGCTGTGACAAACTGTTTCGTCGGAGTTTCACCGACTCATCAGGAGGCTGAACCCTACATAGAATTGAAGACCAAGAATTGAACTCGATAAAACAGAAATAAAACAATATTTAATTTAATTCAATCAATTAGACACCACCTCTCAGAACAACTCTGACTGAACGCCTTCTCTACGACTCCACTGAGATTCGATGGCAAAACTTCGACAGGACGGAACCAGGTACGAACCAACCGGCCCAGCTAAGTTGGTGCACCCATTAACCAAGTCCAAATACAGTCCCCGGTTCGAACCCAGATGCAACCAGATGAACAGAAAAAACTGATTCCGATATACATCGTCCAGGTCAGTCTAAAGATGATATCTCAAGGGCATAGCTCTTCTTATAGGAAAAGAGATGAAGGGGGGAAAAAAACTCTCAATGAACCCTTTGATATATATATACATATATATATATATATATACTGATGAGTCGGTGAAACTCCGATGAAACAGTTCGTCACAGCCCCTCGTTTGCTGTCCTCTTCTCCCTCTCTGCCTACGGTTTAACGTCGGCATTTCTGTTTGATGATATACATTAAATACGCATGCAAATCCAGACGAACCTCACGCCGGAAGTGAATTCGCAGTGTCTCTCGACCGTCTTCACCCGAATCGAACGCCTGGTCATTACGCCCATATTTGGTGCAGCTTCCAGTCCAGATGCGGTGATAATGCCAGGGCGATCTATTCGGGTGCAGACGGTAGCAGCAGACCGCCTGCGCCTTTTCACACCAGCAGTGAATTCCCAGTGTCTCTCAACAAAAGATCTCTCGTGGATGTGCCTTCTGGTAAATGCTTGTAGTGTGCCTTCAGAAGAACGCTTGTAGACCCCCTAGACACACGGTGGCTACCATCCCAGCAGACAACCCATGTCTACAAAGAAAGAGATGCCTGTTTGCACGCGGATAGGAGAGAGAGCTTATTTCCAGGACAAGACTGACTCTGACCAACTGGCAAACCTATGGATCATCCATCATACAGATGCAAATATCACTCAGAACAATCAAACTGGAAGCGACAGATAATAAGCTTGTTCACAGGACGGGGGAGGGCGCTTTTTACCACGATGCGACTCGCTGAAGTCGAAAGCACACAGGACAAGCAAAGTTGGCTGCATCCGGGAGAAGGGCAGAAGCGCCAGGTTGAATGGATGGGTGTTCGGCCGGATAGACGAGACAGACACGCGAATGGCCACACGAGGGCAGGTAAGACGAACGGGCTGACGAACAAATGCACAGACCGGCAAGCACACAGGGCTAACAGATGGGCGTACGGCTGGACGGACGAGACAGACACGCGCATGGCCATGTGGACAGGTCAGCAGGCCGGCGACAGGCATGGAAGAGCAAGTGGGAAGAGATGGATAGCGACAGCCAGGGAGAGTAGGGAACCCCCTTATGGTTCCCCCCACCAAGAAATCAATGGGATGTAATCGCCGTTCAGCACCCTCGTGCTCGAGGGGCCTCAACCGCAATCGACCATCCAAATTTCCCATCTTGCTGGCCTTCTTTTCCTGTCCACAAACTCATGTCATCAACTTCTTACTCATACATAATGTCCACTGTGAGGCTCCCTCTTCGCCACCAACTCAGACACCCAGACTCCTCTGCTTGGGAATTTCCCCTAGCTTGAGACACTCTTCCCTGCGTTCTCTGTTCATGTTCGACTACTTGCCAAATGTGCAAAATGAGAACGAATCTTCCGCAAAGAACATGGGAAGATACACCGACATATTTTTTTGTCTTTCGTGCATGTGGCGAGTAGCGGAGCGAGGCCCTCTCCCTTGTATACCATCCGACATATTTTTGTCTTTTGCGCATGTGGTGGGTAGCGGAGTGAGGCCTTGTCCCTTATATATACCATTCAGAGCAAATTGCCACACATCAACATCCATGCTGCTCCCCACCAATAGATGGAGCCTCTCCTCAGGTGCTAGTGGTGTCTGCTCTTACCAGCACCACTAGCACTGGAAGGGAGTTGAAAGGGGAAAAAAAAAAAAAGAAAAAAAAAAAAGGAAGTAACTGCCAGAAGCACGACCCCACTTTCCATACTCTTGGCGGCCCTCTGTTGTTGCGTCGGGTAGCGTAGTTCCGCATGTCTACTTACTTTTGAAACACAATCCCCATGCAGCTACACACAACAGGAAAAAAAAAAAAACACGCTCCGGAGGGACAAAATTTTATCCTTCCAATTCACTTGTCATTACCTGGGGACAAAATTGTACACAGCGAACTTTATCTTAAATAAATTTTCACCAAACTTTTCTTCCAACCTTCCTGAAAAATCCAGATTGGCCAGATATAACCATCGTCCTGGGCACTCCAGCTCATACCGTCAAGTACACGCCTGCCTGCTCTCAAGTATATCTCACTTCACAAGGAGCGCCCCCTGTTTTGCTCCCGACACAAGTCCTCTGTTTCCAGGATCAGGCCTCATCCCACCACAGGCGTCCTCCGTGCAAAGAGACCAATAATGTAAAATGGGTCTTTATCCGTTTCAAAGGTTAACGGCACATCTTTTTTATTTGTTTGAAAACGGAGATGCTTACCATTTCTCTCAACTTATGCGGGTCATCTTCACGCAGGGGGCACGCTAATCTTCTCTCTCTCTCTCTCTCTCTCTCTCTCTCTCTCTCTCTCTCTCTCTCTCTCTCTCTCTCTCTCTCTCTCTCTCTCTCTCTCTCTCT